CTGGGAGTTAAGATTATCCCCACTCGGTTCGCGGATCCTGCTGTTCTGCAGAAGATGGGGATCTTCGAGGAGGTTGTTCAGATTCTGGAGCGCATTGGGATGGGGACTATGCCGTTCCAGCAGTACGATCTATACCCAGATTTGGTCCGCCAGTTTCTCTCTACAGTTCGCGTCTACTACGCGAATGAGCTGGCGAAGCGTGCGCAGGAAGGCACTATGACATTTCTGATTCGAGGAGTTCGATACCAGATCAGTCTGATGGAGCTTTGTGGGATCTATGGCTTCTCTGACCATCCCACAGGCGTTCTCCTTCCCTCTTAGTGGACCCATATGCGGATATTCTGGTCCAAGTTCGGGAATGGAGTCTATGACAGCAAGACCAGCACGCAGACAGAGGTTCGACATCCGGTTTTGAGGTATATTCTGCGCCTCTTTGGTCATACCATTCTGTGCAAGTCTGCGCCTAGTAAGACTCGAGTTAGTGAGCTGATTCTCCTCAACTACGGACTTTATGAGATGCTGGATGATTCGATACCTGTTGATAGTATGGTTTGCGCCAACTTAGGCGCTGTTTTCGCTGAGCATCTAGTCTCCTTGAAGACCAAGCCATTCACCAGTCCAGGGGAGAAGACTGAGAGTGTTGGCAGCTTGCTGACACCGATCTTCCATCATTTCCAGATCAATGTCACACCTTGCAGTCTGCGCAGTGACAAATCACTTATGGATGACCAGTATCTGCGCCATGTCACTTGGATGAAGATTGGAGTTGTCTGGACTTTCACTACCACTTTTGGAGAGTATGTTGGCATTAAGTTGCCACAGAGAGCCTTCACTACTATTCAGGGAGATCCACGCCAGCTATTCTTCATGCCAGCACAGACTCTTCTGCGCCCCTTGACTCTGCGCCCTGCTAGAGCTGCTACAGCTGGCGCCTCTGCTTCTACTGCCGCTGCTGCTGATGCTGGACCTTCTACACGCCAGAGTGGTTCTTCTGCTACTTTCAGGCGTCCTCCACGACCACAAACACCCATGGATATGGCTGCTTTTTAGGAGTATGTCATTGACAGCTTTGAGGGACTATGGGATGCTGTTGCTACACTTAGCAACTGTGGTTGTGTCCGCCCCCATTACACCACTGAGCCTTGCGAGGATGAGGATTGAGGTTTCACTATCTGGTTACTTGTTCCTTTTTCCCTTTTATTTTTCTTTCTCTTGAGTCATTTTTTATGTTTACTTTGAGTCAGTTGTCAGTTTCTTTGATGATGTTTTGTGAGATTGTTGAACCAGGATACTTTTGCTATGTTTGGATGTTGTTAATTATGTGTTTGAATGCTCAAAAAGTCTAACTTTCGAGTACACATGCAAACACTTTGTTAATTAACATCTGACATAAGAATTGGGTAATACAGGTCGTGGTGACGCTCGTCACCAGACTGGTGACGCTCGTCACCCGATCCCACGCGAGGTAACACTTTTCTGACTTGGTTTTTCGACTTCTTATTCATTTTTTTGACCAACTCTTGGCTTAATAACACTGGGGACAGTGTTGTTTAAGTCTGGGGAAGGTGGTTACTGACGTTGTGTGCTTTGTGTCATGTCTATAGAGTATTAAAGTTGAGTCAAAAACCTGTTTTATAGAGTCAAAATTTTTGAAACTGTCAGTTTTTCTTGGAACTAACCATAAGACGTTTTTGCTGATAAGAAACATTGCCACAATAGTTGATTACAAGTCTAACTAAGTTGAAAGTCATAGGTAGATCAGTCTAGCAATGAAGGTTCAGGTTCTTAGAGAGTCTGAAAAAAAATCTGCTGTTAGCTCCTCCTTAATGAACTTTAAACTTCTTGTCTTGGTGATTGATTCTTATTGATCTTGATTCTCTCTTTCAGCACTGACAATAAGGTTAAAATGCAGTCTCTCTTTGATCTTCCCTGATGTAGTTTTTAAAAGATACAGTCCAAAGAATGGTGCATTCATGACCCTGTCTCCTCACAAGGAACAACAGTAGTGAACACATTCAAGAACCTGTCTCCTTACAAGGAACACAAGTATTGAATAGCACCATATCTTAGACTGTAAAAGTTGAAAAAAAAAAAAAAAAAAAAGAAGTGAAAAATCAAAAATATCCAAAGGAAGAGATTAAGGGAAGAGAAAATAGGAGAGTTGTGTTGAGATCTATTTGTTCAGTTGTTAGGAAGGGAAAAGAATCTGTAAAGTGATTAAGATGATAAAACTTTGATGAGATATCACACCTAGATAAAAATAAGGAGTTAGCAGTAGAAATTTCGGGTTTCTTTAAGGGATTTGGACTGGACTTGAGAGATTTGCTAAGCTTGTGATGATTAGACTGAAATTTGATTTTGTGTTGACTATGTGGTATGTGGATTCGAAAGCTCTAACTAGTATGGTGTTCCTGATGACTGACTGACTGTTTCTTGTTTTCAAACCTCGACCTTATTCTTTGTCTTATGTTTGCTTGAGGGCAAGCAAAAGCTAAGTCTGGGGGAGTTGATATATCATGGTTTTTATGGTTTTTAACCATGATATAAGTCCTTTTTATTGAGTCTTTTTGGTCTTTTTAGAGTCCTAGTAGAGTCTTTGCAGGTTATAACATGTCTGGAGCATAATTGGAGATTTTGGAACCTTTTGGAGCATTCTGGGTTGAAGCCACGAAGTACCAAGCTCGAAGCAGAAAAGTATCGCATATGGTGACGCTCGTCACCCATCAAGGAAGGAGCGTGGCTGTTTTATTAAAAGTATAAAGAAGATTTGCAGAATTGGCCCAGAAGTTCCTTTATTTACATGAAGACCCCAGATCGTGTTTAGCCTCTATTTATTAGGTTTTTCAGCCATTGTTGGCGATTATCTTAGTTTTTGAGAATTCAGAGAGCTTAGAGAGAGATTTATTCAGAGCTTTTTGGGGAGACAAATCCTGTACTCTTTTGAGAAGATTTCGAACCCCCTTTATTTCTTACTCTTTCTCTTAATGCAATTTTATTCAGTTATGTTTTGTGATCTCATAATCATGTCTGAGTAATCTGTTAGTTAAGTTAGGATTTTTCAAAGGTTGATGAAAAGAGTGTAGAATCGCTATCTGTTAAGAATATCTCATGGTTTTTCATCTCTACTTGCTTTAAAATCGAATTTCTGAGACACATCATCTAGGAATCCGAAAATCATAGGTTGTTAAATATATGTGAGAGCATTATTCATAACCTGAACTAGTATTTGATGAGCAAAGCAACTTAGTGCAAAGAAATTTGGCTTAGAAGTTTTGTAAACAATTGAATCTGATCAATCCTGCATGTTTAGGTATATTAGGGTTTGCAAAGAGATTTGAAACTCTGTGATTTAGGCATAGATAACTTTTACAATGATAATTGATTAGTTATACATCAGTGATTCATGTTTAAAACGGTTCTTAATCATTCCTGATTTCCTGCATCATACATTCTTGGATTCAACCTGCGAATTACCCTGAATTTAGCGCTTTTAGTCTTCTTGAACTTAGATCATCTTACAAAAATCGTTTGCTTACTTTTATTTATTCATTCGCATTACATACATCATATTTTGCTTAGCTTAATCTGAATCTACATTCGATAGTGTAGTCTGCATTACTCTCTTGGGATTTCGATACCTCTTGTACTACAACTGCTTTTATTGTGCACTTGCTGTAGTTTTATTTGGGTAAAACCTGATCCTATCAGCGACCTTCGTACTTGAAATGTACATTTACATTTTTTCTCATTGTCTCCTGCGAATGAATACAAAAACTAATTTTAAAAAAATTGGAAGACGACTTCAGTAATACAAGTTGTACTAGTTGTACTGTTATTCCCAGTTGTCCTATTCAGTTGTACTCATTTCTCCGATTGCGATAAATCAAATTTAATGTCGTCCTCAATTCCTTGTAATTTACTTACATCTCTACAACTCAACCATAAAATGACATACATACCAATCCAGAGACCTAATCAATCCATAAAGCATACTTACAAGCCCAATGTGCACTCCAAATTAGAAGTTCAAAACAAATACGAAACCCTAACAGGAGCAGTCCGATTTCTATACGGACCTAGGTTTTCGAAGTTGCAGAGTACAATGGAGGCGGATTGCAATAACAGAAGGAGAGCGGCGGAGAAGAAGACACGAATCGAAGCTCGCCAAGTGAAAAAGGAAAAAGGAGCGGAGCTGGCTCGGAGAAGAAGAAGAAGCTGGTTTTTTGCATTTTATTTATTTAAATTTTATTACAATTTTCTTTTAATGAATAAAGGTTAATTTCGGCATTTCACATTTCATTAAAACTATTGAAACCCATAAAGGATATGTAGATTGCTTAAGGGTAGATTGGATTTTGTCTCCAACAAATAAGGGTATATAAGACTGTGGCTCGGAGGAGTTCGTGGCAAGGGAAGAAGAGGAGAAGATGCAGAATTTTTTTTTTTCTGTTTTTTATTTTCTAAATTTTAATTTAAAATATTTTACTTTCATTGATTTACTCAGTTACTTTTATTAAGGATAAAATTCTAATTTTATATCTCTTCTAAATGAATAAGTGGTATTAGATTAAAGAGTAGCACAACAAATCAATTTTTTTCTAAAATAGCATTTCAGCATTTAGCTCAAATAAATTGTAAACATGACAATGACATATGAAATCAGTTTTTATCAAATAGTAGCATTTCAGTAATTGATCCCTGTAAAAAAGATAATCTCTTTACTGAGATAAAACCTAAATCCACCAAAATTCGCTGTCGTGGCGTCTTCTTCCTTGACACTGGAAAATTTTCACCTACGAGTCGAATTGTCATCTCCTTTCCGTTTTTGCCGTCGCCATTTTCATTCCTTTTCGGATTCAGCCGTTCTCAGGTAATTTATCTTCCCTGTGTTCTCAGTTGGCTTCAATTTCACTCGAATTGCATTGTTTGATATTACTTGATGGATGGTGAATTCGTCTTCAATTTCCGAAATTTAAGCTCACAACTGCTTCGAAAGATCGATGATGCCGAGGCGAAAAGCAAAGAAGTGTGTCAAACGCACCGAAGAAGAAAAGAACGACGAAGGGATTCAAATAGAAGAGACGAAAGATGACTTTGTGATCGAAGAAGGTATCAGTTTTTTTCTTCTTTCAAATTCGTATATTGTTCATAGAAATGAGCGATTTGTATGATCTATGATCTGATTTGTGGAAACATTTTGTGTAGTTGAGAGACAAATTGATGCAATTAGGGCAATCCGTGGTGTGGAGACTGAACACACTTTAACTGCACTTAGGTTGCTTCAATCATATTTTTCTGAGGAACAGCTACAAACTCCCATGTTAGAGTTCTTCAGAGAGAACCTTCCTGATCTATCTATATCGAGAAACGAAGAAAGTGGGGAGATTGAGATAAAGTGGGATGACAAAAATGGTGATTCTTTAATGGGAGATGAAGATGGTGTCGACTTGAATTACTCTATCCTGAAGCGCTTGTCTATGGGTTTTTCTGGTGGCTACGATTTACCTGATAACGGTATATAGTTAGGGAATAAATAGATTTGGGAATTGTGGGATTGATCTTTTGTTTTGGTACTAAGCTTTTGATTTTGTCCTTGGTTTTGGCAGTGAGAGCGAACCTGTTAGGAACTAATAACACACAACTCGAGAATCTTGTAAGTTTATATCTTGTTCTTCCTCAAATTTCTTGTGGGTTATCTTGCATATGCTTCTGCCTCGTAGAACTTAGGATTCAGAACCCCGTAGAAGCAATTTTGTAGGCTTTCACCAAACTGAGTATAGTGCACTAGATTAGCCTTTACTTGTTTTAGTAATGTTTAGGTTACAGTAAACCGTAATCTGGAATTTGTGTACGACATTGTAATCTTCTTATGCCTTCCAGAATTTTGCAAAACTACTTTTTAGGTCTAGTTTTCTTATATTTTTTTCCCCTGATTTTAGGTCTAGTACCGTTGGTGTAAAAATCTAGTTTTCTTATATTTTTTTCCCCTGATTTTAGGTCTTTCAGGGGACATCGGGGAGCCAAATGTTTGCAAGCAATGATGCTCTTCGTACTCCTGTGGTATGTGTTCATGATTGTATTCTCTATTTCTGTCTTGATGCAAATGAAGTGAATCTACTATGTTAGACTGTACCGTACCTTAATAAAAGGATAGGCATGAGTACTTGAGAATTCAATTCACCTCTAGGTTTACTTATGATCCGAAGAGAAAGAGACCAGTTTACGTTCTCTGTTGCAGAATGAGCAATGTTTGTTTGTTTCGGTGATTGTACAAGCAGAGACTCTAGAATGGTGCTCGTAAAATTTTGCAGGTAAATGGGCAAAGACTCTCTATTGGAATGACACCAAAGACTCAGAGGCTGCCAAAAGCTGGAGAGGTGATGCTCTCTGTACATGGCTCTCCTTTAGGGGTCTATAAAGAAGATGACAACAACATGGGAGCTATAAATGGTACGCTCCTCCTTAGTTCTTGCTCCTTCCTATGAGAATACAACCTTATTATATATCTTCTTATGTGGAATATTTTAATTGATTTTTGCAGAGGAAAACAGTTGAAAATAGTTTCAAAAGGTTCAAGACACTGTCAGATTCTCATATCGTCTAAGCAGCATCTGATGTTGTACCCTTGTACGTATCCTAGGTTTGATTAGTTTCTTGCAAGTTATTGGTGTGAGCGAGTGTTATAACACGAACAACATTGCTTTCACTTTTAGTTAAAAACTTCAGTTTAATATTTGATAAATCCGCAAACATTCTAGACAAACTCTTGAAGAATCAATAGAAGGTTAAAACGACAAGGCCACGAGTGCTAGGCAAAAGAGATGAGATAGAATACAAAAACAAAAATCTAAGACTTTGGAAGAAATGATTCAGTCATCTTTTTTACCACTTGATGAATGAAACCGCTCTTCTCCGAATACAACTTGAATTCTCTAACCTGCAGCTCTTTCCACTGCTCCTCGAACCTCTTCTTATCCTCCGAAGCAAGCCTACTCCATCCTTGTTGAGCAGCAAGATCATCCACACCGTAACGTGATAGCGATTTAACGAGAACAGACACGGAAGACACCTCTCGTTTCACATCTTCTCCTCCTACATTCGAAACAAGCTCTTCCTTCTTCTTCACAGGCTCATCAACGTTCTTGCTCTTCTGCGGCTTCTTCCCGTTAGATTTCACAGCTGATTCAAGAGGCATTATCCCATTATCTCCCCAAACAAGCTTGGACAGATCAAAGGCCTTGCGATCATGAGGTTTGGTTTCCTCTCCTTTCTTGCCTTTACCAAGATTGTTCTTCTCAAACTTCCTCCTCAAATTCCTAAACTTCTCCATCAATTGGATTTTGCTAACATCAAAGCTAATAGATTTCTTCACCAGCTGATAAAACGCGTTTGTGTCGTCGTAAAGATTTGTCCCAGTATCGGCTTTGTAATCGATAATCCCTTGTAAAAGCGCAATCTCGTCTTCCTCACTCCAAACTCGCTGGAAGTATGTTTTCTTCGTCTCTTCTCCTCCACTCTTTTTCTCGTCTTCTCCTGAAACCCTCTTGACCCTCTTCGCTTCTCCTCCATCAGTCTCACTGGGACGCTTCTTTGTCGCAGATTTGGCTAAAGATTCAACCTTTTTGGAATCGTGATTCTTCACGACGGACGGCGGTCTTTGATTCTTAACCGGAACTTTCTTCTCGGTTTCGGATTCGGAATCGGTTTCTTCTTCCGACCCAGATTCGGAATCGGGAACTTGATTCTTCGTCTTCTCCGTTTGTGGTCTCGTCACTGTTGGGTTTCCAGAGGAAACATCATCATCTTCTTCTACTTCTTCTTCCGACGAAGAGTTTTCCGCTTCGATTGAATTCTCCACTTCGTCTTCGTCGCTTGAAGATGCGTTCGGCGGATCTTCCAACGGATTAGAGCGTTTCCCAGTCATCAGATATTTTTTAGGGTTTCTGTGGTTTTTGAATTGGGAATTGGAGGTTTGAATTGTGAGATTTCGCTTCTATCACTTCCTCTGTTTATATAATAAACACAAAGAGCCTCTGTTTTCCAATTATTTTTTTTTTTGATATTTTAATTTTCTAAATTTTATTAGATTTTTCCTTTTTTTCTTACGACGAAAAAATAGAAATTAGTAAACTAGCCATAACTTTTTATATTTATTTTATCTTTGTAGATACGCGATTTATATATTTGGTTATTTAATAATTTTGTTAACTTAACATTTTTAATGTTTATCAGGTTTTGTGGTTGTGGGTTTGCCTTGAAACTAGAGGTTAAAATTAATGCAGAATTTTGACTACGTTTTGTAACAATGCATGAAGTCATAAATTCATAAATGCAAAAATCATGAAGAAAATAAGTGAATAAAATGTCCAAATCATGTGAAGAAATTTATATTTTTATTATTAAAATAATGAAATACTTAATAAACAATTATTATTATCACAAAATCTCTTTTTTTCATATGATCAAATGAAATCACGGAAAATTAAAACTATTTTTTTTCTCGCTTTTAATATCTCTGTTTTGTATTTGGTCAACGCTTTTTCTCAAAATTGTTTTTCCTTATTTTCCAATTTTTGTATTATCTTAGTATTATAATTCCAATTAAATGAGAATGTTGTAGAAAACTCAAGAGAGAGAGAGGAAAACCCTAAACACCAAATACTTTTTTTCGCTGTCGTTTCGTCTTCTTCCTTAACATCGGAAAGTTCTCAGCGACGAATCGAAATTGTTATCTCCTTTTCGTTTTCGAGGTTGCGATTTCTCTCCTCTGTGCTGAAACCTCCCCTTTCGGATTCAGTCTTTCTCAGGTAATTTCTCTTCTGCCTCTGCCTCTGCCTCCAACTCCATCGCCTTGAGATGTCCTCAGTTGGATGAATCTCAACTTTTTCTCTCCAAACCTCTTTTCTCGAATTGAATCCGTTCTGGGCATGCCAATGTTCGAATCGTATGAATTCATCTTAGATTTGAGTTTTGTAGAGCTTAATTAGTGGCTGATTATTGTTAATTGGAATGTTGGTTCACCAAACAATGTTTTGTAACCTATCACTAGTTGGGTTAAGATCATTACTATGATTCATTTAAACTCTGTTTTCGTGCTCTCCCTTCTGATACACAAGCTTGCATGATGATGTTTGAAATCTGGATCCTGCCTAAAAATCTATAGCCAAAACAAGCAATTCAGCCAGAGACTTGAAATTTACTATTTTGATAGATAGTCATTTATGTCTGTAGGACTTTGGTATCTTAATGAGATAATGAAACCTCTGTGTCTTGATTTCTTAGTTGAATTCTTCAAAGTCAGAGTCTTGAAAGTTTTTGTATCAGTGTCTTGGGCTATTATGAATTGGTTGCAAGCTTACTATGAACTTTTTATACACTTTTCTTGTTGCCTGGTCAATCAAAGTCCCTGCCTACTTCTCTAGATCTGATATTAAATGCTGTGTAGAAGTTGTGTACGATTTAGAATTAAGCATCACATCACCTGTGAGAGGCTTTGTTCTGAGACATTTTTGTGATGTTAATGTGGCTGCTTGTGCAGGATTTCAGTTGGATTCAGATAGCAGCTCGTACGTGTTCTAGATAATCGGCAACAAAGATGGATGATTGGGGTATGACTCATATATCATACATTGTCTGTAAATACTTTAATTTTCGACTGGATTAGTAATAGATTAGTACTGGCTGTATTCAACATCACATGTTTTAGTTATGCTCTCTAAGACGATAGGCTTTTTTTGTTGCTTTGTTGAAGTTCTTATATAGATGGGTTTCTCACTTGTGGGTTTTTCTTTTGTGATTTCAGAGGCCGATGACTTTCAACCACTTCCTGCGAAAGTTGAACTGAAAAGTAACTGGGATGATGAGGATGTGGATGAGAATGATATCAAGGACTCGTGGGAAGAAGATGATGAACCTGCTCCGGTATAGTTTTCTTTCAGTATATTACTTTTCACTATCGGCTTGTGTGCATAATTGAGTTTGAGATTACCCTTTTTCTACTTCTCGAGTACCTAACAACCTTTTTTTTTTGTAGGCACCTGTTGTAAAGCCTGCTCCTGAGAAGGCGCCAAAGAAAGCAGTTGAAAAGAAGGCTAAAACTGTTGAAGCTCCAAAAAACGAAGAACCTCTAGATCCCATTGCTGAGAAACTTCGCATGCAGAGGTAGAGTTTTGGTGATATTTCACATTTGTATATGCTTTTTGCTGGTTCTGCACTGGTATCTTTGCTCAACGATAGAATATAATCGTTTTCTCAATGCCGTAAGAAGCATGTGACCTTGTGAAGGCTAGTTTTGTGATATTTTTTAGTCTTCTTGTCTTAGGCTTGTGGAGGAAGCTGATTATCAGTCAACTGCTGAACTCTTTGGAGCAAAGACTGAAGCAAAAAGCGTCGATATGTTTATCCCCAAGTCCGAGAGCGATTTCTTGGAATATGCTGAGTTGCTTTCTCATAGACTGATACCATATGAGGTATCTATATTATTTCCCTATTGCTTTCTTGTCTCAGTCAAGTGTCACTTATTTCTATTTGGCATGCGCTATAACTAATATTACATGTTTTGCAGAAAAGTTTTCACTATATTGGACTACTCAAAGCAGTGATGAGACTCTCTGTGGCTAATATGAAAGCAGCAGATGTTAAAGACGTTGCTTCGTCCATTACAGCAATAGCAAATGAAAAACTCAAGGCAGAGAAAGAAGCTGTTGGCAAAAAGAAGACAGGTACACACATTTTTCACTCTTTTTCTTGCTTCTTTATCTTTATGGACTTGTTAGATTAGATGTTCTAAAGCAAGAAATGGTATTTTGTTTTGTTTAATTGTGGTTTTTTAGGTAAGAAGAAGAAACTGCATTTGGATAAGCCTGATGATGATCTTGTTGCGGGTCCTTATGGCGCAATGGACGATGATGATTTCATGTAAAAAAAATGGCGTTTTGGAGATTGTTGCACTTACCTCTTATAGGAGACTGTAACTGAGATGGAGGGTTTAAGTCATCCGGCTGTTTTTTATTTAATTATTGAAAGCACTACAATCAGTGAAACAAAGTTCTCTCTCTTTTTTTTTGTTTGCTCGGTTTGATAATGAAAATTATGGAGTAAAAGCTTTTTTCGTTGGCAAACATTATATTACTTTGTGAAAATTACAAAGTACGGTTTGGCTTTCGAGTGCTGTTGCTTTGTGTTTTCGTGTTCCATATGTACACAAGCTCTATGGCATTGCAATATGTTGTTTAGGTCGTCTTTGTTTAGAACTGTAATTGAAATTCAACTCACGGAAACATCATTGGATTGCAAACCACAATAATCTCAAGTTGCAAAGCAAACACACAATTTGTGTGATATGTGATCTTTGTAACATATCACAAGTTGAAATACACCATGATTCAAAAGAAAGACACTATGATACCACCAGTGTATAAATCATATCTATAATATATAAAAGTTGATAACATAGTGCATTGAAGACGTCCACATGAGATTAAAAAAACTCAATATGATTGATTCACATCAGCATATTCATTAAATAAAAAAAATAGTAAGTATGGTTAGGACAGAAAAACTTGATTTAATTGAACCACATCAGTTTTTTAATCAAACCAAAAATTGTTAAGTATAATTACAACATCAAAATTTAATTTAACAAATTATGTCTAAAAAAAAAAGTAAATTTAATCTGATTGATCCAAATCAATATATTTGTTAAATCAAAAAATATTAATCTGGTTTAAAAATTTAAAAGTGAAATAAAAAAATTAACAATTAACAATATATGTATATAAAAAAGTAACCATTATCAATTTAAAAAAATCTACAACAACTCGGTTTAACAATTAAAACAATCAAAACTGAATAAAAATATAATATAAAACTCTTGGAAGACATAGTAGAGAATGAAAAAATGGTTTTGCATGATCATTACAGCTTCCTACCAAGATTAAATACGAATCAACATGAATCATGGATTATATATGCAGTGTACACAACAACGATAAGACTTTCAATAAAAAACTAAATATTTGAACATATAAACATTCAAGAAAAGAAGAATTATAGAAATTCTATGGAAAACAGAAAATAATACCAAAATCTTAGCAAAAAAATGTTTCTCTAAATCAAATGTATATGTACGTCAATGTTATATAATTTGATAGGTGTCATTGTTATTATTTTACCCAATAGTTTTTTAAAATTTATAAATAAAAATAGGATATATTACACATTATATATTAAATTCTCTTATGTAAATGAAAATTTCTATAAATCTATTATATTTTAATAATTTTAAAGATAGTAGCTAAAAAAAATAAACCAAAATATTAATACAGACTCGCGCGAGCGCGATTTATATACCTAGTAATATATAAAAGTTGATGGCATAGTACATTGAGGGTGTCCACATGTTATTAAAAAACTCAATCTTATTGGTACACATCAGCATATTCATTAAACAAAAAAAATGTTAAGTATGATTATGACGGAAAAACTTGATTTAATTGGTCCACATCAGCTAAATCAAACCAAAAATTATTATGTATAATTCTCTTACACATTATATATTAAATTCTCTTATGTAAATGAAATTTTCTATAAATCTATTATATTTTAATAATTTTAAAGATAGTAGCTAAAAAAAATAAACCAAAATATTAATACAGACTCGCGCGAGCGCGATTTATATACCTAGTAATATATAAAAGTTGATGGCATAGTACATTGAGGGTGTCCACATGTGATTAAAAAACTCAATCTTATTGGTACACATCAACATATTCATTAAACAAAAAAAATGTTAAGTATGATTATGACGGAAAAACTTGATTTAATTGGTCCACATCAGCTAAATCAAACCAAAAATTATTATGTATAATTAAAACATTAAAAGTTAATTTAACAAATTATGTCCAACAAAAAAAGTAAATTCAATTTGATTGATCCAAATCAATATATTTATTATATAAGAAAATGTTAATATGGTTTAAAATTTTGAAAGTTAAATAAAATATTAACAATTAACAATACATGTATATAAAAAAAAGTAACCATTATCAATTATCAATTTTAAAAACTCTACAACAACTCGATTTAACAATTAAAACAATGAAAACTGAATAAAAATATAACATAAAACTCTTGGAAGACATGATGGAGAAGGAAAAAAAGGTTTTGCATGATCATTAGAGCTTTCTAAAAAAATTAAATGCGAATCAACATGAATCATAGATTATATATGCAGTGGTACACAACATCAATACGACTTTCAACAAAAAACTAAATATTTGAACACATAAACTTTCAAGAAAAAAAGAATTATAAAAATTCTATGGAAAACAGAAAATAATACCAAAATCTTAGCAAGATTATATTTCTCAAAATCAAATGTATATGTACGTCAAAGTTGAATAATTCGATAGGTGTCATTGTTATTATTTTACCTAATAGTTTTTTAACATTTATAAATATAAATAGGATAAATTACACAATATATATTAAATTCTCTTATATAAATGAAAATTTCTATAAATATATTATACTTTTAATAATTTTAAAGATAGTAACTAAAAAAAATTAAACCAAAATATTAATACAGACTCGCGCATAGCGCGAATTATATACCTAGTCTATTACTAATAAAAGTTGACGCTAAATGCCTTTAAAGGTGTCCACATAGGATTTAAAAGATTCAATTCTATTGATACACATCATCATTATTTATAGTTATTTATATATTGTATATTAAAATTAATTTATTTGTTTTTATTGTTATAAGAAAAAATTCTAAATTTTAATTAGTTTCGTTTTGTTGTTATTGGAAAGTTCAAAATTTTAAATTAGCTATTAATAAGAAAGAGTTTATAAAGTAGATCTTATTTTTCTATTAACTATAAAAAGTAAATTAACATACAAATATCTTTAACAAACAAATAACTAACTTATAAATTGATTATTAAAGATAATCATATAAATTAAACAAAATAATTAAAAACTGTATTTAAGATCATAATTAAACTATTTCTGCTGGAAAAAAAAATTAAACTATTTCAAAATTTTAATCATAACAAACAATTAAAATATGAACTGCTAACCTAAAATATATTAGTTGTAGTCCGTGTTGATGTCTTAAGCCAATGAGAGCGTCCACATATGACGTAGAAACTCAAGCTGATTGATCCATATCAACATTTTTCATTAAACATAAAAATCTTAAGTATGATTAATAATTTAAATAAATTAAAACATGCAAAAATATAAAATTATCATAATAGAATAAAAAATTAAGATTAAAAAGTCTAACTAACAAAAACAGATAAAATAAAATTATGTCAAAAATCCAAATCTATGTTTGTCAAAATAAAATGGAAACTTATTGTCACAAAAGCTAAACTAACAAAAACAAATATGTAAATCGATAACAAACAATTTAATTAAAAAAAAAAAAATTTAACATATATATTTTATATGAGTAATTAATTTAAAAAAATATGAAGATTAAAATATTTATATAAACATACAAATTAAAACTATCAGTACTATAAAAAAATATCTAAAACTTGATATTTTGCCTAAATATTTAGAAAATCAACACAAAAATCTAAACTAACCAAAAAAATTTACCTAACAAAAAAACAAAAATTAAATTATTTTTTGCAACATGTCAATACAATAAAAATGAAAATTTATATCGGAATAGTTAAATTAACAAAAAGAAGAATATTAACTTGATAACTACGCCATATTTTATTTAACAAAATCAATATAAACAAAATAAATAAGAAAATAAAAAAACTTAATTAATACTAAATAACTTGACTAACAAAAAGAAAATCATATTTAAGATAATTATTTAGAATATCAATATTAAGGAATTAATTAACAAAGAAAAAAATTAAGTTCTACAAAATGTTAAATTTTTGAAAATCACCTAAAAAGAAATTGACTTGATATATGACTAACTAATTAAGAAATTAATATTAAAATATTTAACTAACAAAAAACAAAAATATGTCTTCAAAAATATCAATTTTTTCAAAAACATTATATGTTAAAATAAAATAAAAGTCAATATCAAGAGAAAGCCTAGCTTGATATTTAGGCTAATATTTTGGAAAATCAACATAAAACAATTAACTAAAAAAGCAAATGATGGTATAATCTTTTGAGAGAAGTCTACAAAAACTTTAGAATACCCAGTTATAGCTTGTCAAAATAGCATTATAATTAAAATAGAAATTTATGTAAAACAAAATTTAACAAAGAACAAATATTAATGTAAAAAAGATTAAATTGATATATGCTACCTATTTGGAAAATCAATAACAAAATAAATTAATTTAAAAATTAATATATATATATATATGTTTTAAATATAACAAACATTCAAAAAATTAGATAAATTAAAATAAAATATAAAATTACCATCGAAAGATATGTAAAATAACAAAAAACAAAATCTAAGAAGAAAATTAGTTTGAAATTTAGTTCTAGAAAATTCATGATTTCTAAAATATTGGTATTGACTATGAATAACCATATAAAGTTACAGCAGGTTATACAAATTTCTAAATAAAATATATTATTTAAATTTACAATGACTAATATTTTGATTGCGTCTGGTTTAAAAACTAACAAAAAAATACTACACAAGTAATTTTACATTCGAAATATAACAACTAATTTATACATAGTTACTACTTAGAACTTAGCCAACATGAACAACACATGAGTAACATCTTCTAAAATTTCCTTTAAATAATAAAGTATGACAAAGTTATGAATCAAATTCAAATTGGAATAAATCTAGATAAACTATTCAAATCAAAATATGAATAAACCACACAAAAGATAAAAGCAGTAATAATGTGAAGACTCCACACCATCTTACATGTTTTAAAACAAAAACTATCAAATAGTTGACTGCAAAAAAAACAGATCATATAAACTAAATAGTTATATAACTAAAATTCATAGAAGATCTGGTAGAGAAGCAAGAAGGAGCTTTACATGTTATTGTAGCATCTTAACAAAAATAAATCTGAATCAAAATGAATCATATATTATATATTCAAAGGTATGCAACGTCAATGAGACATTTAATCAAAAACTACAAATATTTGAATATATAAACCTTAAAAAAAAAGAACTATAAAAATATTAAGGACAGAAAAAAACACCAAAAAATTAGTAAGGAAATTATTCTCTAAATCAAATGTATGCACGTCTAATTGGATAATTCGTTAAATGTTATTACTATGATTTAACTTAATAAGATTTATAATTTTATAATAAAGAATAGTTAAAACTACATATTATGTTTTAGTTTTCTTTTATATAAATTTGTTTTTTTTTATAAATATAGTATAGTTTTTGATAATTGAAAAAATATTAGCCAAAAAAAGAACTAAACCAAATTATTAATCCACTACATATTATTTGAGAAGTAACATTATTGAAAATAGCTTACTTGTCAACACTACAGCCAAAGTTAGTGCTTTTAATTAATAACATGTAAATGTGACATGTCAAACTTCCTAAAATAAATGAAATGTTTTGATTGGTTGAATTAAAATTATAGTTGTGGAATTAAAATATAAATAAACTAGATTATATTTATAACACTAAAATTAGCAAATTTAAATTAAGAGAAAATAAAAGTTATTATAATTTTAATTTTTTACATATATTCATAATTTCATGAAATATAATTATGAATTTTTTTCAACAATATATATATATATATATTATAATTTCAAATAAAAAATAATACTAAATGATCCAATAGAATAGTAAAAATTTTATTTATTAATAATACTTGAAGTATGATATATTTTTATATTGTAAGTTATTAATTTACAAAATATATTAATAACATCTAAACAAGTTTTAAATAAAAAATTATTAAATAATACAATTTTAAATAAAATACAATCACGATAAAAATAATTTAAAGAATAAAATGTTAAAATAATAAAATAATTAACTTATATTGAAATGGTTTTAAAAAAAATTATTTTCAAACCAATATTTACTAATTGAATAAAGTATATACTAATTATTATTTTATAATATTAATAGGACCATATATTTTTCTATAACTTTTATCATCTTTTTATTGTTGTTTTCTAAAATGTACATAACTTATGTTACCATCTCATCTTATCTCTTATCATATTTTAAATAAAAATAATAGCTATATACATGTATAAATTTATTTTCATTGTATATAAAATTTTTGAAAAACCGAACAAAAAAATAAATTATAATAAGATGAAATAATATCAATCAAAAATAAAAATAAAAGTATATAAAAGTAAATCTCTCGCACTTTATTTTACAAAGTCACTTAAAAATTTTTAATACTTAAGAGCTATATTTTATTTTTTTACAAATACGCGTACACACATAAATATTAATTCTACATTAGTTGAAGTCACATGCGAACTTTTCTGTGCATGTATTTTGTTAAGATTGATTACAGTCTAATTTTTATTTTAATTATTATATAATTTATATTTTTAAAAAATCTTTATCTATTCTAAGTGTAGTGAAGTGGTTGGTATGTTCGCACATGCGTACCAATCATCTATCCGCTCTTAGGAATAAGTAAAAATGGTAAAAAATATTTCAGTTTAAGTTGCAATAAATCAAGAAAAATATATACTTAAATATATTATATACGTATTTGCAAATTCATATTATGTAAGACGCAAAAAAGCATATCGTAGATTGTGTACGGAGAAATAAAGCATATTATAGAAATATTCAAAAATATTATAAGAAGTTAATTATTATTTAACATAACTTTTATATTTGTGATTATATATTATTACAAGCATTATAAATATAAAGAGTTTTAAAATACATTGGTTTCAGAAAGAAAGTTGTGAAATATTAAAACAATACATATATACAAACATACCAATATTTAAAAAAAACTAATCAATATTAAATATTACAATTAACTATATATATTAAAAAAATTATATCCGCACATATGTGCGGACCAACCACCTAGTACAAAGTTAAAAACCTAGTTCTTTTTTTTTAAACCTTAGTTAATTACATAAGGTTTCTCACTTATACAGCGGGCTTGGGGGCAGAAAGGCCCTAAATCAGAGAAGCTAGCCCAATAGTGTTATTCTAGAAATCTGGAGGAATCGAAAGATCGAAGTGAAGAAAACGAAGCGACCAAACTTTGGGAAAAACGAAAAGACCCAAGCTTTTAAAGTCGTCACTGAAATCTGAGATACATTTTGTTCAGCAATGGCTATTTCTCAAGTCTTCTCCTCTTCTTCGGTCAGTCAACACTTCTTCCAGCCAATTGTCCAAGGCTTCAACACCCACCTTGTAACATCTCTCTATCTCTCTCAATGGCTAATTCAATCTTGTTAGAATCTTGTTTTTTTACTCTATTCTTCGTTGTTTGCATGCAGTCGATTCCTCTAGCTTTTTACTCAAAGCGCTTGGAAGGAAGAGAAGTGGGACACGAGGCACAACTGAGATCAGATTCGTCTGAGATCACCTGGAAAATCAAGATGGACGGCCATAGAATGACCGAAGGATGGGAAGATTTCGCCGTAGCTCATAATCTTCAGGTCGGAGACATTCTTGTTTTCAGACACGAAGGTAATCTTGTGTTTCATGTCACACCCTTTGGACCTAGCTGCTGTGAGATACTTTACTCACAAGAGGAAGACGATAATAACGACAAGGACAAAACGGGTAACTTCTTGAGCTTTTCATAAATTCTTTTAGAAAAACTACAAAAATAGAAAGTAATGGTCAAAGCTTTTTGATTCAGGAAAGCTTAATGTGAAGAGAAATCCTAAAAAGGGGTGTTCTTCATCAGACTCAGACATTGATTTTGTGATCCCTGTCACACTATCGAACCTACGACATGATTCATTTGTAACAGAAGTCCTTCATTTTATAATTTCTTTTTAATTGAACTTTTAGTATGATTTTTATACTGAATGGAACTTGTCCTTCTAAAACAACATTCTCTTACTTTTTATAACTCATTTTAAATGAATTTAATTATAATATTTGCTTTGCAGTATCTTCCAAGAGGTCTAACGACCTCAAGTGGTATGAGTAAGCTGTGCAATGAGATTATTATAATAAATGAAAAAGGTAAGTCATCGACACTAGAAACAAAGTACCATAAATCAAGTAAACGGTTTCATGTTAGACGAGGCTGGAGAGCTTTCTGCTGCAAGAATGAACATAAAACTGGTTGTTCCTTGAGACTTGTCCTCGTACGAAATGGAACAAAACCTATTCTCCGGATGATTCCTTTGGAGAGAGATGAGGACGAAGACATTGGTAAGTTCAGAAAATTGTCTTGCTTTCTATATGTAGTACGGACATGAAAATGCTTAACCATTTTCTATACAGGAAAGCACTCGAAGAAGAAGAAGAAGAATCAAGAAGTAGAACATGAGTCTTTGAAAGAAAAGAAGAATGTGGAATTTTTGTCTTTGTCAGATAACTCTATCTTTGTGGTATCTGTCACGGTCTCTAATCTAAGAGAAGATAGATTGGTTAGTTATTAACACTTCCATGGCTTTTGCATTTCAGTGATAACTGAAAAGTTTTTTGTCTGATTATTTATATTAATGTTGCAGTTTCTTCCAGTGAGGTTTTCAAGGTCCAACATATTGAAGGAAAGATTTCACGAGATAAGTTTGATGAACAAACAGGGAAGAACATGGATGTTACGTTTGAAATACAGACAATCATCAGAACAGTTTTACATTACAAAAGGCTGGAGAAGTTTTTGTGGGGCGAATGGTCTGAAAGCCGGATGTTCTTTCTTATTTAAGCTGGTGGTCAGAAACATAACCGCACCTTTTCTACTCATGACCTCTGAAGATTCTTCATTTGGACATCTCTTAGAAAAGAAACACTCGCAAGAGGATTAGAAGGCGTAGAATATTTGGTTTCTGATGTTAATGGGTTCAAGAAAGGAGAATTTTTAGGAGCACATGAATCCTAAGATACTCTGTTTGAATAAATCTTCCTACGCTTTCGTAAAATATTATTGTTTTTTTCTATCCTTTTGATGTTAATTGTTGTGTGTTTCCGCGTCATCTTAACTTGGAGAATGAAAAATCTTTGCGTTTGGTTGTTTCTAATCTTTTTTGAGTTTTGTTTACCTAATAAAGCTTCCAACCCAAATACAGATCCAACTCATTTTTACTCTCTTCACAATGATTTCTGGATTCCTATGATGCTTATCTTGCGATTTCACCTTTAGATGAGTGTGTAGGGAACTAGAGAATATAGTGGGAACAAATAAAGTTTCGAATCCAGCGTGACTTGTGATCTCTATATTGGCAATGCTTATAAGTCAACTAAACTATAGTATTCACGCATAATTTAACAACGAGCTAATATTATTTGTTTTTCTTCTAAAAGCTAGTCCATGTGTTTTCTTGATGCAATAGTAGTGCTCAAGAAGCTATCTGTACTCTTCCTACCATCAATGTTCCTTAAGACAGAGATATATAAATAGGCACTTTATTGATTGGATAGTACTTTAAACATTGTGGTCGGCAGATAAACAAGGGAACAAAGAGATGACATAATTCCAAAAGAGTGACAAAAGAGATAAGCATAGGATTGGTACAGTAGCCGCTGTACAGACAAAAAGGTAGATTCTTAGCTCATACTAGATCAAGCTTTCTTGCATTAGTGATTGGTTATTGCAAATTACTATTATGAATTTGACAAGATTCTCAATTCAGACTATAACATATTTAATTAGAGGTGGGCAAAATTCCAGTTTCGTTTTGTTCTGTCTCGGATTTTGTTTTACATGAAAATGCAATCCTCTGTGATAAATTTGTTTGGTTCCCATCTAAGAATATGACAAACTCAGAAGTTTTATCAGATAACCAAGAATATGACAAAAATAGAAATTATAAGATGAAAGATTCAACCAAAAGAGGAATAAAACTGGTACAGAATAAGTGAATACCAAGTGTCCAGTCCACAACAAGGCAGCTTATGCGCATATGCAAATGAAAGAACCATGTGTTACCAGAGATAGTGGCAGATCCAACTTTAGCATTATGTTCCGGTTGGTTAATGATAGGCAGAAAGGTCTATAATCCAAATTAAGCTCTTTTTTTTTGTCAAGCCGTTTCATATTATTAGATCTGTTAAACCAAGCCAAACCAAGAGTTTAAAGCACTCTTCGCTAAAATGTTCGTCGCTAAAATGTTCGCCAACGATTTAGCTTCCCGTGTTATAAACCGTGTTATAAAGATAAAGGAGATTTCAGAAAAGAAAGACGATAGTGAAATGATATCATGCAAGATACCATGGAGCTCTTAGGGTGGAGTCTCCGAATTGATGGCCTGTATCACCTTGAATGAGTCCGAGGCTATGCGAAGTTTATGGATACTCGATTGCTTGATGGATGGCTAGCTGGATCGCTGATGCATTCGCCATGAGAGGGGATCTAATATTTGTTGCCGTCATTGAGTATTTCCGAAGCCACGGTCGATGGTTTGTTTTGATGATCCAGCCGTATCCTGCTGTTTCCGCTTCGTTCCATGCCACATTTGTATTACATCTTGCCGTATCGAAGTCAATTGGATTTGGCACTAGAGGGGCTTTTTGCTTGGTGATTCCTCGTCTTCCATATGCTCCAGATAATCTGTAGGGGGGAAAGGCAAATGATGGATTTTGCAGATTCAATTTCCTGGCGAAAGCTCGTGAAGGCTCGGTTCTGGAGCGGTGATTTACGGGGGGTTTGAGATCAAACTTCTTCAGCGTATGGGCAATGAAAGTCTGTTTATTCCTGTTTGCCGAAAGGGTTCAATCCTTGTACATCGATTGATCTGGCTTTCAGGTTATCCTGCAAAGGTATATCGATATGAATGCAAGCACATATGAAGAATCAATGGATTTTTTTAACACTTTTGCGATTCTACAAACTCTTCATCAACCTTTGAAAAACCCTAACTTAACTAACAAATTACTCAAACATGATTATGAAAACACAAAGCATAGCTGAATAAAACTTCATTAAAAGAATATAATATAAGATAAAGGGGTTTAAAATATTTTCTAAAAGAGTACATGATCTGTCTCCTCTGAATAAATCTCTCTCTAAAGCTCTCTGATTTCTAAGATTGATACAAGAGTTTTGATCTCTTTCTCATTCACCCAGCATGTACTAATCAGTTGTTGTATAACATAAAAATTTTATCAATCTAAAGGAGTTATGAATAAATACAACTAGAATTGTGAGCAGAAAACTTTAAGTCAAGTGAATCAAAGAAGGGGTGTTGCTTAGCAACTAAACTATCAACCTAAGTGATCAAACACCAAACAGAACTCAAAAGAGAACAACTTAGCAATGATCAAAAGCAAAACAGAGCACTTAAAGCAAAATTCAAAATTCAATAACATAAAACAAGTCCCTAGATGTAATTATTGACTTTGGGGAATTCAAAGACAAGACTTAGGCTGTTTCAAACATCATTGACAATGCAAACAAGCAATCAATGCTAATTCCTAGACATAGAGTTCACAATCAAGCAAGTTAAGCCTAATCTCTTGACAAATAGCCCTTTGTTAATCATCCTAACAAGAACTAACTCTCATTAGTGCTAGAAAAATCAACAAGCATGCAAAACCAACTCTATTCAAGTCAAAATAGTCCTCAAGCAGTCAATCTCTTGAGCTAAGACCAGTAAATCCTCTATTAAACAAGATCAGCATTTCATCAAACACTTGGTGGGCATAAGATGAAACCTAAATCTAGATTCATGTGATCAATACAAATCTAGCCTAAGAACAGATTAATAGAAAGGAATTAACATAATTAAGCACTAACAAACCCTAATAAAGCCTCTAAATTCCCCTAATCTACCACATCTAAGAACCCTAAAAGGACTACTCACTCATCTTCATGAAAAACACCAAATCACAAGAGTAAAGTGTGTTAAACATGATTAGGAGGGAGATTAGAGAAGAAATTAAAAGGCAAATACAAAACTTTAATTAAAAGATGAACTTGTTCTTACAAAGATTAAAAAACTCTTAAGAAAACTAAGCAAGAACAAGACTTGACTAAAAACCATTAGTCCAAGCCTATTTATATTGAAAGACAAAAGCCCTAAAGCAATTGCAAAGTTGTAAATAAAAAGAAGTTTGGATTGGATCACATCCGTCACAAGTGAGCGATGTGGATGACCGATGCTCCTCTAGGGTGCTTGACATCGGTCAGTTGAGGACCGATGCTGTTGATCGATGTGAATCTTCAAATTCTCGGCCTGGTTACATCGGCCAGTCTTGACCGATGCTCTTGATCGATGTGGGTGTCCTGCCTCTTCACATCTGTCATAAGTGACCGATGTGAATCACCAACTTCCCTGTTGCTTTACATCGATCACCATTGACCGATGTGCTATGTGCCTTGACCGATGTTGCACCATAAATCATCTTACTTGGTTCCTTTTTCTCCTTCTCAGCTTGGCCAACTCCTTGAACCATTCCCACACTTCCTCCTTGCTCCATAGAGCCTCTTAAGTACCTAAAAACATCCTGAATGCATAGAGAATGCAAACTACAACCTAAATGCAACCTAAGTCTAAAAGGAAAGGAAAATGGGACTAAGAGAAAGATAACATGCAAAAGAGAACCAAAACATGAGCTAAATATGATGTAAATATATGAGATATCAACACCCCCACACTTGCCTTTTGCTTACCCTCAATCAATCAAACTAAGACAAATGGAGGATGAGGTTTAAAGGTGGGCACTCAAATCCAAAAATGCTAAGGTAAAGAAATGAAGTCAAATGTCTAAGTGCCTAAGTGTAAGATGCAAAACACAATCAGTTATATTTTAATGAACTTAGCCATGCTCATTATGTTTCAAAGTGATCTCAAATCTCAACCTAGACAAATGCCAAATCAATCAACTCTTTAACATTCATTAAGCTTGTAACCATGAATCATGTTTGTGCAAATCAAGTGGGAACATTTGGTTTTAAGGGTAAGGTTATGACATTAAAATGATCTCATTCAAGGAAAGGGTTCATAAACATAAGGGATCACTCAATGAAAATGATTCTTTTAGGCAAAATGCTAAAGGTAAAAGCACACTTATGCATGCAAATCAAAGCTCTCTTCTACTCTTTTACCCAAAGATGAATCCTAAGAACTTATAAACCCCAAAGTGAACCCTTAAATCTACCCTTTCTCCTAAACTCTAAACCTCATGGTTGGGGAAACTTCTTCTTCTTGCTTGTGTGGTTGACCTTTGTTGTTGGGACTTGCTCCTTTCTTGTTGATTATGCGCCATTTTTCACCTTTGGTGGATTGCCTTGGGTCTGATTTCTTCTTTTGATTGACCTTTTAAAGCTTGCTGATTTTTGGCGCCTCCTTATCTTAAACACTTAGAGCTTATTATTTCCTTTACTTAATCACAATATAAACTTATTTCCCCATACTACCATTCCATACTTTTCCTTCTTCTTTTAAAGCATATAATCATGAAACTCAAACCACTTAACTCTACCCTTTTACCCCAAATTCCCAACCTAGAATCAAGCTCAAAATGCAAGCTGATATCTACAAGATAGATTTTCCTTGCCAGCCTTAATCCTAACGCTTTTTGCCAAGATAGAATTCGAAAATGATGTATGCAAAGTCTCACAACTCTCAAGATAATGTTTAAGCTCAAAAGGAGGTTTAGTTAAAGGTGTGGATTAACTGTACCATAAGTATGAGGATCAGCTATTTGGATCAACAAGAGTTGCAAGAAGGAAAAAGATGATCCAAATATGTATATGGTAGCTATGAAATCACTTTTCAATGCACAAACATGATAATTAAAAATTCAGATTAAAGTTCAAATAGATAGAGTTGATTTTCAATGAAAAAATGGTTTCAGTATGAGAATG